GTAAACTCGGGGGCTGAAGTCAATCATCGACTACGCGGTCACCAGGCAAACGAGTACCATGAAGGTTCGACAAGTAAGAGTTTGCCGGGGGTTCTCCTGTGGTAGTGATCACCATTTTCTCAAGGCGGAGATCGCATTTCCGGTTAATTATGGGCTGCAGAGGAGTACCTTGCACCATCAGAAGTGCCAGCCACAAGGAACGAAGATCAAACAAGTGCACTACAACACGATAGCTTACAGCATGGAAGCCGGAAAGCGCTCTACAGAAAGCGGCTGGATGAGAAACTGGGAGTAGAAACTTTCGATACTGCAGAAGAGTTGTATCAGTTCATCAAAAGTTGTATACATTCAGCTGCGAAGGAAGCCCTGGGTATGTGTGATGAGAGCAAGGATGTACAGAAACCCTACTGGTGGGACAAAGAGGTAGAGGAGGTAATTGAAAAAAAGCGTAGGAAGTACCATGACTATCTGGCTTCTAGGACTGCAGACACCCGCGGCGCGTATAGGAAAGCCCAGGCGAGGGTTCGTCTTTTAATCACCAGGAAGAAAAACGAGTCTTGGGAGAACAACTGCTCAAGGATTGACACATACCTGGGGGAAGGAAGAGTGCTGAGAGCTGGAAGCTGATCAAAGGCCTAAGAAGGGACACGAAACGGGACATTATATCTCCGATAACAATCTCACAGCTTGACGAACATTTTAGTAAATTATTGACGGAAGGACGACCAGAGTTTCAAACGGGGAATGCTGAAAATATAGTCGAGGATCACTCAATGGAAATTAGAGTTGAGGAGGTGGTCAAAGCAATCAGGAAATTGATGAATGGAAGAGCTCCTGGGCCAGGAAACATTCCAGCCGAGTTAATTAAATGTGGGACTGGCAAGCTGGTTAACCATCTCAGGGATTTGCTGCAGAAGTGATGATGAAGAAGATGGTGATGACATCCCGAAAGAATGGAAAGAGGCCTGGATAACAGCGTCGCATAAAAAAGGAAGGAAGGATGACTGTGGGAACTACAGAGGGTTAGCGGTGACAGGAACCATAAGTAAAATTTATGGAAAAGTGTTGAAAGCGAAGATCGAAGAAGAGTGGACCCCGTTCGAGGCGGAGGAGCAAGCAGGTTTTAGGGCTGGTCGGTCTACCGCTGATCATCTGTTCTGTGTTACCCAGTTAACCGAAAAGAAGAGAATTGTTGGCCAGGAGCTTCATTCAGTGTTTTTGGATATTGAAAAGGCTTATGATAGTATTCCTCTTGTGAAACTTTGGGAAGTCCTAGAAGAAACTGGTTTTAGTAAGGGACTTATTGGGGCAGTCAAGCAGTTTTATCGGGGGGCTTTTGCTAGAATTAAGTGCCAAGGAAGGCTTTCAGACGGTTTTTTTGTCACCAAGGGGCTTAAGCAGGGATGTTTTCTGTAACCGACGCTGTTTAAGATATATCTAGTGCACGTTCTGAAGGAATGGAAAAGAAAGTGTGCCGGCATGGGCGTCCCTCTGAATGACCAAGAAACACTGTTCACGCTATGCTTTGCTGACGACCAGGTAGTCATAAGTCAAGATCACGATGACGCAGAGTATATGACCCGGAAGTTGGTGGAGGAGTACCGCAAATGGGGCCTCGAGGTTAGTGTCCGTAAGACAAAAAAGATGTCAGTCGGAGGTGCTCAGCAAAGCATAGTCCTGGAGGATGGTCAACATATAGGAAGTTGCGAACAATACAAGTACCTGGGGGTGAAGCTGACTTCGGATGGGAAGCTGGATCAGGCCATTCGGGACCGTAATCTTCTAGGAAGGAAAGCCATCCACGGTGCCCCTGAACTCACTTTAAATGCGACTTTGTTGTACATCAAAAATTCAAGTTGGAGGTTGTAGTGGGGTACTCCCTGATGGGTTTTTGGGCAATTTCGAAATAGGTTGTCGGAGCTCCTCGAAAAATAATCGCATTTTTGTGGTTTTTTAGGGGTAAAATAGCAAAATTGGCCTCCGGGCGACAAATTAAACCCCCTCTCCCTCATCCTTGCCTTGACCGATCTGAATTTTTAGTATGTTTTTACCTGGTATAAGATGGGACTTTTCTGAAATTTTCATGCCCATACAAATTTTTTTGCTCCCGCGGCAGCGTTGCCAAGTTGCGGACTCCAAAATATCGAATTTAATGATAAAATGAAGGTTTCGGAGTGTGATTTCCATTCAAAATCAAAAATTCAAATTGTAAGTCGTAGTAGGGTACTGCCTGATGGGGTTTTGGCCAATTTCGAAGTAGAGTGTTTGAGATTTTTGAAAAATAATCGAATTTTTGCGGTTTTTTAAGGGTAAAATAGCACACTGCGCACGGGGCGGCAAGTTGAACCTTTTCTCTCTCATCCTTGCCGTGACCGATCTGAACATTTAGTATGTATTAACCTGGTATAAGATGTGACTTTTCTGAAATTTTCATACCCATACAAAATTTTTTGCCCCCCGCGGCAGCGTTGCCAATTTGCGGACTCAAAAATATCGAATTTGATGATAAAATGAAGGTTTCGAGGTGTGATTTCCTCCAAAATTTCACGAAAAATGTGCAATCTGAGAGTTTTCGATAAGAAAAGGCATACTTGAACAATTTAGAGTTGCAGTGTTGCCAGCTTTTGATTTAAAATTCGTCAAAATGACCCAAATCGCGTTGCAACCTCGAGCGCTGGATTTTTATTTCGTTCAGAATTGGTTATTACGGTTCTTCTGTACTATATGCATTTAGGTACCATGAAAATTATGCCATTACTTACTTGATGGGTGCAGCTAACTCAACAAGAGAGGCCGGATAAAGCGATGAGTCGGGGGAAAACGAGCGGTTCGGGTTGACAGAAAGTTCTTAAATCTACTCCATCACCAGAAAGTAGAATTTGAGAACTTTCTCCCACCCCCCAAACCTTATCCCTGTTGCAGTCAATCCTTTGAACATCTGATCTGAAATTTTGCCCCCGAATTTTTACCAAAAACATGATGTTTTTTTGCACAAAAACGTGTTTTTATTTTTCATGTTGTTGGTAAAAATTCGGGGGCAAAATTTCAGATCAGATGTTCAAAGGATTGACTGCAACAGGGATAAGGTTTGGGGGGTGGGAGAAAGTTCTCAAATTCTACTTTCTGGTGATGGAGTAGATTTAAGAACTTTCTGTCAACCCGAACCGCTCGTTTTCCCCCGACTCATCGCTTTATCCGGCCTCTCTTGTTGAGTTAGCTGCACCCATCAAGTAAGTAATGGCATAATTTTCATGGTACCTAAATGCATATAGTACAGAAGAACCGTAATAACCAATTCTGAACGAAATAAAAATCCAGCGCTCGAGGTTGCAACGCGATTTGGGTCATTTTGACGAATTTTAAATCAAAAGCTGGCAACACTGCAACTCTAAATTGTTCAAGTATGCCTTTTCTTATCGAAAACTCTCAGATTGCACATTTTTCGTGAAATTTTGGAGGAAATCACACCTCGAAACCTTCATTTTATCATCAAATTCGATATTTTTGAGTCCGCAAATTGGCAACGCTGCCGCGGGGGGCAAAAAATTTTGTATGGGTATGAAAATTTCAGAAAAGTCACATCTTATACCAGGTTAATACATACTAAATGTTCAGATCGGTCACGGCAAGGATGAGAGAGAAAAGGTTCAACTTGCCGCCCCGTGCGCAGTGTGCTATTTTACCCTTAAAAAACCGCAAAAATTCGATTATTTTTCAAAAATCTCAAACACTCTACTTCGAAATTGGCCAAAACCCCATCAGGCAGTACCCTACTACGACTTACAATTTGAATTTTTGATTTTGAATGGAAATCACACTCCGAAACCTTCATTTTATCATTAAATTCGATATTTTGGAGTCCGCAACTTGGCAACGCTGCCGCGGGAGCAAAAAAATTTGTATGGGCATGAAAATTTCAGAAAAGTCCCATCTTATACCAGGTAAAAACATACTAAAAATTCAGATCGGTCAAGGCAAGGATGAGGGAGAGGGGGTTTAATTTGTCGCCCGGAGGCCAATTTTGCTATTTTACCCCTAAAAAACCACAAAAATGCGATTATTTTTCGAGGAGCTCCGACAACCTATTTCGAAATTGCCCAAAAACCCATCAGGGAGTACCCCACTACAACCTCCAACTTGAATTTTTGATGTACAACAAAGTCGCATTTAAAGTGAGTTCAGGGGCACCGTGCATCGCCATGCTTAATGGGATCCTTTGGGACCAAAGGATTTCCAAAGACACCAAGAAGAGAATTTATAACTCGGTTGTCAAGCCTATTATCACCTATGGCAGTGAAGTGTGGCAGTTGAAGAAGCGGACCCAAGAAATGCTCAAGGCGACCGAGATGGATTTCTGGCGAAGATCGGCTGGAATCTCGAGGAGAGAACGTGTCAGAAATGAACGTGTCCGAGAGATAATGGGCGTTGAGTGGACGATTGTGCACGATATCATGACCAAGCAATTGGTATGGTATGGGCATGTGCAAAGAATGGCTGATACCAGGTTGCCGAAGAAGGTGTTTGAGTGGGTCCCCCCAGGTAAGCGACGGAGAGGACGTCCAGCCAAACGGTGGGTGGAGGGCATCCATGAAGAGATGAAGAGATGCCAGCTTCCGGAGGATCTCTACCATGACAGATTCCTGTGGAGAATAGGCGTCGCAGAGCGCCCAAGCGCGCCGTAAAAGCGGCTCATACATACATACATACATCAAGTTTGCCACCCAGCAGTTAAAAGTGAGTTTTTAATTTATATTTTCATTATAGTTAAAATTTTCTGAGACACCTGACATAGCATTTCCCTGAGTCCCCGTTTTAAGAAGTAAGTGCGTCATCTGAACAGCTAATTGACAACATAAATTTCAATTCTATAAAGATTTGAAGAGTAACTTCATTATCAGTAAAAACCAGTTTACCCCTCCTCCTTTTGCAGAAAATTTGTTGATTCCACCAAATCCTGTCAAATATCTAAGAATGGCCGGATTTTGTTCTTCTTTTTTCAGGCTTTCCAGCCGAGAGAGGATTATCGAGAATTTTTAGAGCTCATTTTGATATTCCTAGGACAAAGACCAAGTCGAGGAGTGCATTTTAGGGCACCAGCAGTATCGAATAAAACCAGATGGATGGCAGCTGCAATTTACTGTTTGAAAATGTGGTTATTTCAAAACCAATTTCCGTGTGATGACCCATCAGTTGAGAAATTGACTGATTTGTGTGTATTCATCGTAAAAGTTTATGCAAAGTATTGGTTTACTGCCCCTTCGCCAACAAAAGCTCCCTATAACGACCCACTATTTTTAAAGAATCTATTAGCTTTTGATTCTGTAAATTCTACCATCCGTAAAAATACTGTCTTAAAATTCCGTCGACACCTTTGGTATTTGTCAGAGGAGCTTGTTAGCTTAGCATTTTTTGATAATACATTGCCTGTTAGTGTCAAAACGTCAATGGCGAAGTCTGTGTTTAACAATAGGTCTGCTAACAGTAGGAACAAAGTAAAACGACTTAAAAGGGCAGAGATCACTTTTGAAGATCTAAAATGTATTAAAAATAAGGACTTATCATCTTTTGTGACACAAAATAGTCTAAATTTCTTTATAATTCTAAATATCCCATACAGTATACGTTTTTAAAACAAAGTCCGACTAAATGGCCAAAGCTACATGATTTCCAGCTAGCTCTCAAAGTAGTGAAAAATCTCAAAGTTGTGAACGATAATGCCAAAAGAGCAGTTTCACTTATTCAAACTTTCAATAATACCATCACTAAAAACGAAGAGCAAAAACAATATTTGTTGAAAATTGTCATGGAACATGGAAAGGCATTTCCAACTCCTGCTAAAAAGTTCCTGTAAATCCAAGGGACCTCGTTTTATATTATCGTAATAATTGAGTATCTCAACTTCCGTGTGATTTATTTCACCCCATATTATTCATCAACTTATCGATGAGAAGGATCAGCGAGGGGGGGGGGGGGGTTGTGACATACTTTTTTTCAATGAGATGCCATGCCATTGGTTGATTGACCCGTATTCTGGATGCTGCTAGCTCCGTGCGCCATTACAGGTCTTGACGCTGCCGTTGCGCTGGAGTGCCAAAATAATAGCGAATCTTTAGGTTTATCCCCCCCCTCTTTCAACCCTTATCGACCCCTTCTATTATGTGGTATAGTGATACAACGAGGTCCTTGATGACCCCACATTGTTGGCATCTACTTGAAGAACACGATGATTATTTAAACACCCGATTTTTCTAGAATTTCTTCTAAAACAGAAAAATATCGATACTTTCGACCGTTAGTGCAACCTCTAAATTTTGGAATTTTTGGCTAAAAATTTTTTTAGGATGTTTTCTTATGATTTCGAACTGATGGCGATGAGGCACCGTAAAATTTCAAACTTTTTTTTAAGCCATCAGATAAGCCGCACCCTAACCCAGGTATACTCGCAAACAACAGGCAACTTTACATTCCCGGTCACCTGCAGAAGACCTGGGGTTGGCATGGAAAAAGGGATTTTGGATCACTAAGGACCAAGAAAAAAGTAACATTAGCTGGAATTAGTACTTACTCTGGCAAACAGGCAAATACATGAGCACATTCACTTCATTGCATCAGCACAAATCCAACAACAGAACAGAGTCCAATGGAGATGGTATTGGACAAAACCTGTACCTAATTGAATTACTGATATCTTTTTATTTTATTTTTATTGGTATGTTAACAACAATTTACAAACAGTATTAAATTGAAATGAATAACTGCAAAGTGTAAACAACAAACGAAAGCGAAACCAACCGAGGCAGCCGCTGCATGGTCGTGCTGCGGCCGGAGCAGAGGCCATTTTGATGACGTAGTTAAGTACAACTGGTATGAGTAACTTAGACAGACGTCCGATTACGATTCTAAGTACCACCCTGGTACCATTTAGTATCACAAATCGAGGGTGCCGAGATGAAAATTTCCATGAAACTTTGAGAACGAAATTTGGTTTGATACTTATAAATAGATATAGAATATGCTTTTAGGATACGGATATCTTATACCTGTAAAAAATCATGTCAAATATCCATAAAATAAATGTTTCTAATTATGTATATTTTATACCCTACGAAATATCTATTAAATACCTACAAAATAGGGTATCTGGACGATACCTATTCGATGTTACTATATTGGTTACTAAGGTATTTCTCAAAAAAAGTTACCTTATAAGTGAAAAAAACTGAAAATTAGACGTTTTATACGTTATATATCGCAAAAATGTACGTCCGATTTCCACGTGTCGATTATTTTCTTGCCGAAATCGATTTCTCAACTCAAAATATATAGGCATACCATAGCTTGCAAAAGTTTTGGCCCTCATGTGGACACGGAATGCGATTTTACCCAGAAAAAACTTGAAAAATCAGAATATTCAGCCTTCAAAACTTCAACTCCCATGTTGACAATGAAGATAGAGGAATTATGGCCTCAGATTTTTTCCTCGTTTTATCGGTGCCTATTGACAACTTATGAGCCCTAGCCGTTTTCAGATTTCCAAAAAAAAAAAATTTCGGCCCACCCTAGTGTACATCTGTAAGATGTCATTTTGTCAAATGTTCGATTACATTGATGAATGTACCTTCCCTTCAAAGGTGGTGAAAACGCCAAAAAGCCGCAGCCTACCGAAGTTTAATACTATCTACAACGCTTTGGTTCCATTTTAGTTTAATTACAGTATGGTGTTGTTTGACATAAAGTCAGTGATACATTCTGGTTTTTAATCCATTAATTAGAACGTTTAATCGTATAAAATTAAAGGAGTGTTGGCATAATACTCTCAGTACCTGGTTGAAATGGGCCTAAAAATGCTCACCAACTGGCATGGACGGGATTATCATCAACATAGTATACTGAGGTCGAGTCACAGTTGCAAGTATCACGATATCATCAAACCTCTGTTTGCCACATCAACTCTGAGATTCACACCGCGTGGCGGGAAGATCTTTTTATGGAAAACCTGATTTATTGGATAAATGGGAATTTTTTACTATTTCCCTTTTCCAAGGAAATTCAAAAAAGTTTTGGCATGTGTGATACATCGATTCCCACTGAAAACCCCGAATGTGGCCTCCGAAATTCGTTATCTACCCCCCTTTCCAACAAAAACCCGAATTTCTAGGAAAATTGATGCAAAAATACCAAAAAAGTCGTTCTCCAAGAAAAATCGTCTTTTCCAGCAAAATGGAGAGAGATGAAAAATTGGAGGTCATATTCTGATTCAGCATCGTAAAATACATAAGCATCTCTCTTTTACGGATCCAGGATAATTAATTAGATACAAATGGCAAGCCCGACTAAAATAAGTCAATTTTGCTCAGTTGCCGAGAAAGAAGTGACTTCTGTAGAAAACTGAGGGGTCGTAGATAAAATTGAGATCATTTTCGGACTCACAAACTCAAAATACATAAGGACAGATCTATTCTGTGCCTAAGACAAATTGAGGAGTTAGGTGCAAAAGGGGCGTTAGGTCCATGACGCCCCTTTTGCAGAGACCGGTTTTTCTGAATCCTCATATCCTAAAATGTAGGTGTACCAATTTTCATGTTATTATGTCAAACATTCACTGAGATACAGTAATTTTATTATTGTTAGGTTGGCTAAAAATGAACGTACCTAACCTCCATATTTTAAAAAAAACCCGCGATTATTCAGAGCTTCTAATTGTACAAACTTAAACTTGATAAAATGATCTATATTTAAACTTACCACATTATTTTCATATCTTTAAACATACATTTCATTTGTACAACAACAAACTTTGAACACGAATAACTCAAAACGCGATTTTGTCAATGACGCCCCTTTTGCACCTAACTCCTCAATTTTACCCACCTTGCAAAGGGGGCAACAGTCGCAGTAACACCGCAAATAGTGAAAAACTCCCATTTATCCAATAATTCTGGTTTTCCGTAAAAATGGTGGGTGACAAAGAATTTTTGTGGTCATATTCGGTGTTTTCAGCTCATATGACATGAAAACCGATGCATTACACATGCGAAAATTTTTGTGCATTTCCCTGGATGTGGGAACAGTTTGGAAAAGCTTTTTACCCGGAAAAATCGGACCTTCTAGAAAACAGAGGGTTGTCAGAGATTAGTGAAGGTCAAATTCAGGTTCAGTGGCTCCTAATATAGCAGGAGAGACCCAACGAGGATCTCGAAAAATGTTTAAAACTCCTCGGAACAGGAACATCATGGGAAAACTACCTAAACAGAACGTTTTTCGAGGAACCGCGACTCTTCCGGGAAAATGGTGGGTGATAGGCAATATCTGAGGTCATATTCGGCTTCAGCAGTTCCAAATACATAAGAATCAATGTATCACCGGTCGGATACATTTTTAAAATTTATTTTTATTACACTTTGAGACCGGGAAATGCTTCTACACAATTTTAGGCACAGAAAAATCAGCCTTAGGTACCGGAAAACTGAAGGGTTATAAAAAAAACTGAAGTCATTTTCGGATTCAACAGCGCAAAATACATACGAATTACTCTTCAATGCACAGTGGGTAAAAACCTCGATCTAGCGTCGGAAAAGTCCAAAATTGAACTTGAGAAAAAAGTCGTAAAATTTATGAAACTAAGTATGCAGTTTGATGTATGTGAACCTCAGATCAGCTAATTTTGGTATCTTCCTCCTCATGTAACTCAACGAAAATGATGAGATTAACTGAGCGTTGGACGCACCGGCGCTAGGGTCACCGCGTGTGAAGTGTTTACATTCTGTGTTCTGTGTCCTCACAGGTAGCTAAACGTCCTGGAGTATTTTTTTTTTATGATGCCTCGATCTCCAAGATGTAAGTACTCAAATGTGTTTTATCATCTTCGATTACCAAATGTGTAGCAATTTTTTAAAAATACCCCTAAAAACTACATTAAATTCTAACTTTGTGAAGCCATACCCCTGGAATTTCGCCGATGTTCGCGCTGAAATTTTACTGAGGCGTCCAGCGTACCTCACAACGTCTACGTGCCAATTTTTAGCTGCAGCTGTTCGCAGCTCTATGAGTTATGTGGGAATATGTGGATGAAAACCTGTAAGTAATTGTTAGCCATTACTCGATATGAAAGCTGTGTGTGGAGCTGTATGTAGAGCCGTGTTCAAAGTCTCGATAGAAGGGGAGGCGCTGCCACTGCACGCACTGAAACATCTCTGGGACCCCATGTTCAGCTTTTATCTCTGAAATCTGTATACTCTTCGTGGTGCAACGGTCTGCGTGTGTGCCAATCACCGTAGAAACTCTAGTTCGATTCCCAACTCGGGACTGTCGAAATTTATTATTATTCAGGAGTTGGATTTTTACATATTTATCATTTATTGTTGTTAAGAAGGCCCCCCTCCCAAAAAAAAACTCTGCTTGACAAATGGAAGGACCCCATTCTACTGACTGATAAAAATAATGTGGTACATCCGTTCGTAGAGGAGAAATTTTACGAGGGCAAGGCCGAAAGTGACATAATTGCATAGGTAGTCAGATGCTGCAAGTAATCAAGCGATCATACACCGGTTTCAAAGTGCAGTTGCAAAGAAGTGGAAAAAACATCACAGAACGTATGAAAAGCTTGTAAAACAGGAAGATTCTTGGTTGCAGCACGAAATGGAGTTCGTCGTCTCTAGGAAGGAGAAGATTCCAATGGGTCGACCGCCCTTGAATTTGTATGACCTTTCCTATAAGGGGAAGTGGGAAAAAGTTTAAGATCTGGTGAACTCGAGGACAGCGGAGGAGCTGAGTGTTGCAGCCTCTTCAAGTTTATGCGGCTTGGGAAATAGGGATGCAGCTGCTTTGGTGAAAGAAATTTCGGAGTCTCCCGCTGAAAAATCTCAGGAACTGAAGAAACTTTCTTCTAAACTCCAATCTGGCAATTCCCTACCCTACAGTGACGATGAAAGGTTTGCGTTGTATGTGGATGACCGCTTTTCGAAAGAGGGGCAGAATTCCATCCACAAGGGCGCCAAATCCCGGAACGTTAACCTTTACCTGCTGCTTAGTAGAATTCCGGGTGCAAAGGGAAGGTACTACTCAGGAAAGGAGACGATTCTCATATCTGAGACGACAGCCGGCTCATCTTTACAAGGTATAGTCAACCACACGATCTAGCGCCTTTTGCTCCACATAGAATCTGGTGAATACCTAGTGAATACGGATATAACTTTAATTTTTAAGTTGGGGTTAGATGGGAGTTAAGGACATAGTCTCTTCAAACAAAAATTCAAATCTAATGGAGCATCATATGCGTCTTAAATGTCCATTTCTTTGGTCCCCCTCAATTTAGAAATCAATGCCAGAAGACAGCCGGTTTGAACAAATTCACGATCAAGTACCGTTAAATTTTCTGGGTCCATCACAGTGGTTTTTTAATCAGAGACAGCAGAAGCAATTGGAGTTAATTTTGATGAGGTGGAGTTGCAAATCTGAGAAATTATACCCACAGAAGTCACAATTTCTGGACACAAAGTCACAGTCCACCCAGAATTCCACCCAATAATACTGGACGGTAAGACACTTAGCGCCAAAACTGGTCCATCGGTCCAATCTTGCTGTATGGTGCTACTCCAAAACTGATGAACAAGCTAAAGGCGATTGGTATGCAGGCATGCAACCGGAGGAACATGAGATACGGCCTTTCTACCCTTCATGCACACATTCGAAGTATGAGGTATTTGTTACATGTTGCGTACCTATCGGCTTATCCTATTAAAAAAACAAAGGAAATGGCAAATAACGGATAAAAGAGAGAAAGAAAAAATCAAGATGAAAAAGAAGGAGATCCAAAAAGCATTGAGAGCAGAACTTGGCATGTTAATAGACATGCTAAAAGAGGATAGTGGCAAAACAAATGATGGTAATACTGCCCGTGTATCCTCATCTATTCTAATCAAATCATTTCTAAGACGCTCAATGGATGGGGTGAGGCAGTCGATGGGCAGGAGTGAGAAAGGGGGGGTTCAAAGGTCAGAGTTCCAATAGAGGTGGGTCTTTACTTTCCAAGGCCTTTGTTTAGTCATGAATATGTGGCCCTGTCAAGGTCGACTTCCAAAAAAGGAATCAAAATTCAGAGTGAGGAGAAAGTCGTTAAGAATGTTGTTTGGCGGGAAATTTTTCGTTGAACCATCGTTTTGTCAATCAATTCAAATTTTTCGCTGATTAGGGTAGACTGGGGTTAAGTGGGCACCATTTTGTTTGAAAAATCATAAAACAAATTTGGTGATAGATAGAGTTAATCTTTAAAGTACAATGTCTTCAGTATAATGTAAGGTATCTGCAAAAAATAGTATGTTTCATTTTTTAAATTTCTTCATGGTCAAAATTTAGATTTTGTAAAAAATGGGAAAGTGCTCAGTTAACCCCGTGGGGTGGGTTAACTGGGCACTGGGGGTGGGTTGACTGGACACTAAGATGAAAAAGCATACTTTTGAAATAGGAAACTTTTATTAAGTCAAATGAACAAGTGGAAAAGTCTTAAAAATTAAAGAAATACATCTGAGGATGATTTTTTGTTTGTCTTAATACTTATATTATATACATTTTCACTAAGAGATACGGAAAACTTATTTCAATGACTTCTGAATAGGTCCCATGGTTGGTTGTCCTTTTTCTCCTTTTAGTTGTTAAAATACTGCAATTAAAATAAAAAAACAAGTTTTAGTGAATGTTTTGGCTAGCTTGTAATCTATGGGGTTAACTGGGAATGCCCTCTTTAATCCCATTTGGTAGTGTTCAGTTAACCCCATTTGGTAGTGTTCAGTTAACCCCATTTCGGAATTTCAGAGAAAAAAAATCATAAATAATACTCAATTGGAATAATTACCAAAGTAATCACTGGAAATAGTACATAAAACTATAGATGAAACAATAAAGCACTTACCAAAGCCTTCCTCAAAAGCTAGATATGTCATTTGGGCTTCAGTTCACAGCACCGGGAATTTACTTTTCGCCCCACGAAACACGTTTGTAAACATAACTTCAAAAAAAACAAAAGACTATCAACTCGGCGCAAGGTACACTAGTAAGGGTCTATAAACTGATGAAATTGACGCGTAGTTGGTTTTGAGTATGCCCACCAGGTGGCAGCTAGGTCGAGTGTTCAGTTAACCCGCCGTGCCCACTTAACCCCAGGCTACCCTAACCACCAACGGGCGATTTCGACGCTTTCGCTGGCTGCGAAGCGGCCGTAGGGAGTGCGCAGCGTCCCGGGGGTTAGGCCACCTAGCGGCCAGGGGGCACAGCAGAAATCCCTCAAGTCTTTCATTACAATATTACCAATGTTCACGAAGTCTCTCTGAATAATTAAGTCACAAGTGTTCTTTCCGAGCGCCAAGACTTTGCCGACGCTAGATCGGGAGTTTCGCCCACTGTGCCATGGGTCCAGGAAAATGATAGAAATAAATTGCATGCATGTCAAATATACGTCAAATTCAATTTTCTCGGGAGAAAGTCATATTCGGATTCAGTGCCTGTCTTGTCCGGGAGACATTTTTTTTTCATTTTTTTTTTTTTGTTGAACAGTGAATTTAGCATAACGTTCTCTCTATTCTTTCCAAGCAGTGGAAGTATCACCTTTGCATTTTCTATTCACAAGCAAAGTAAGCCACAATTTAAGTGCTCCATCTTTCTGTAAGCATATGCTTCTAATCAAACATGTGTATAATATTAAGAAAAATATCAGAAAAATTGAAATTTTTTTACAGTACTTATTTCAGAGCAGTTTTGTCGAAGTACGTAAGTTTTGTTTGACTATATTTTACCACTGAAAATTATTCACAAATTATCCTCGTTTATTCCTTAAACAATGCATAGAAAAAACCCAATACATAAAAAGACAAAAAAAAAAATACAACTTTACAAGAGTACAGCACAAGAAGGCAATGAATTAATACAAAATTGAATAGCAAAAATAAGTATCAATACACTCAATCAAGCCTGCTCCCTTGCTAAAAGCAGTTCTTTACAGAATTCTCCTAACTATTCTTCTGTATTTCTGTTCCAGATTGTTGAAGCAGGCATTGGGGAAATTTGTCCGCCGGACGCTTTCGTTAAGTTTCATTACGTCGCATTTAATGAGTATGATGAAGTTCCTTTTGATGTATCTAAGCTTCGAAGAAAGTTTCCAGAATCAAAGAAGTTGGGGTCAGGGGAATTAATTCCTGGTCTTGAACTCGGTATTGCCACAATGCGGAAGAAAGAAAAAGCACACTTTATCATACATTATGACTTTGCATTTGGAATCCTAGGCTGTGGAGAAAGAATTCCACCTAGTGAGTATTCACTGTTATCAGGTCACTGAAAAATCTTCATGTATCAAGTTAAAAGGTGGCACCTGCGCGGAGAAAGACCTCGTCAGTGCCCGCCCCCACATCACAACTAGCTCTATGCTTTTATTAGTTCCTAAATATCAAAAAACTCTTTCCACCTCTATGCGTAATTTTTACAAAATTTTACAAAAATTGAATGAAGTGATAATTCTGTGGCACTGTCTTGATGGCTCAATTGATTCGTTGGTAGGTACTGTTGAAATTTTTTCAGTGAAGAAGTGTTTTAGAAGAAGGTGTAGGGAGGTCCCTGCCTGAAAAACCAAGAGGTTCTTCACCAGCTAAATCTTGTTTTTTTATTTGACATTTTTTATGACCTCTTGAACTAAAGAGGTGTGTTCGATGATTTTTTTTCATTATGACCTATCGTTACTTTGTATCTTTAATGGAATTAATTTATTTTGTTGAAATCATGTAGATAGATACCAGACATATTCTTGTAGTAGTTACGTTTTATTTAAGAAAGTCAGTTGGAAAAAAAAAAAGAAAAACCTCCTGAATAAGAAGCGCCTCCTAATGCAGTTTCATATTAATGTATACCATTCCTTCAAAATTTTTATGTGCATTTATACAAAAATTGCAATCCGTTCTGAAAAATTGTAGTAGATTTCATTCAAACTGCCTTCAAAATTTAAGTTGAAATGTGTTAAGATAAGTGACAACGAAGACAGTGTCATCGTTAAAACAAAGCTCGCAAATAAAATAATTTATCATGAAGTCCCTTCATCAAAACTTTTGAATGACTATCGAACCCTCAGGCGGTTTTTTCATTCCATCACATTTTATGTAATTTGATGAAAATCCTAAATTACAAGTATAAATTCAATTCTAACTTAGAGGTTAGGTACTTGCATTATTTTGTGTAACAATCAAAAGTGATTCTTGCGAATATTACAAAGATCAATTATAACGGGAGGAAACATAACCCATAAGATCAAACAAATGTATTTGCTGAAGAGAGAATAGAGAAAGCTACTGAACTTAGCAGTGTTCATTATGTTCTTGCCAAAAAAATGTCTGAAAAGACCTTCCAAAACCGAATGCACAGGTATTGCTCCACAGGTAGACAGTTCTAATTTTATGGTTCTTTGATTCCTAATTTTCAGAGTCATCACTTTTATATAAAGTTGAACTGCTTGACTTTGAACGTATGAAAGTTCCAGAAAATGAAGATTTTGAAAACGCCGTGGATGAAGAGCTGAGTTTTCAGGCTTTACTCAAAAAAGCTGAAGGTCACATAAAACAAGGGACTTATCTAAAGAAAGAAGAAAATAACAATCATCGTGCAATTAAAGAGTTAAGTATTAAACTTGGAAACCCTCTCTTTTTTCATTTGGGGGCATGTATAATCTTGCAGAGGCATGTTAGAGCATGACTATCGCAAGGATTTGGTCTGAACTTGTGTTTGTCAGTGATGAGTGTTTTAAACCCCCTGATTGATCACCGGTTTTTGATCTGCGTTTGATCTGCTTTTCCACCGGTTTTTAGTAGTAACAATTGATGCTATTTGAAAAAATACCCATTGAAGTAATTCTCCATCTCTCATCTAATTTTTATTTTGTTTCTCATTTTCTCACTTTATTTCACCTTGAAAGTTTGATTCGTTTTTGTGTTACAGCGATTATTGATTGCAAGATCAATTGGCAACCAATCCTGTAAAAAGAAATCAAGACTTGCTAAGAAAAAGCTCCTTTTTCTTGATTTAGTAACTTTTTCCGGGACTGGCTGCTGACTGGCGCTTTACAGTCACTGTGATTCATGAACAAATCACTTTCCCAGGGCCCAACAAAGTGAGGTACCTGCAGAATTTTATGAAAAAACACCTCAATTGGTTTTGTTTTCTCATAGGAGGGATCGTCTAAGTACATCGCATGAAAACGGATGTAAATTAAACTATTAAAATCAAAGAAATTACATTATGACTGCGATAAATTATACTATCATTTAATCCCATTGAATTCCATTCAAAAAGTGCAGGATTTTTTTGCGTACCCCGTGGACTAGACCGCCGGAAGCGCCGCGATCGCGCCACCGACCGTCGGTGCCCCATAACTCATGATTTAAGCTCCCGTGCAGGGCTTCCGTAAACCATTCCCACAAAGAAACTGTTAATTACGGGTACTTAAATGGTGTAACAGACGGAAAACTCTTGGATTACGAGGGACAAAAATCAAAATTTTATTCATTGCTCACATCTCGATGTACAATCACACAGCAACAGACTATCGACAGACAGACGGACAATTCCACAAAAACAGAAGTGCTGCCCTCTAGCAGAGAGGTCTTTCAACACGCCTCCATAAATTATTGTTACAAATTTCTACAATTTTCACAAAAATTTAGCTTAAAGTAATAAAACAAATGGAGCAAGAGTTACAGTAAAAAAAACGAGACGAAGGGAAGCAATTGACTTTAAGAGAACAAAGGACTACGTGCAAAACAGGCCATTTGGGGCTCGGGGCGGATACCTTTGAGACTTGCCCTATTCATTCACCTAACAATGCCCCATCTTTTCCCAAAGTTCCAAGCCCCCCAAAAATTTTGGAGAGACGCGGCGGGGGGTCAAAGTTAAAAACCGGCAAAATTTTCGCGAGTTTATTACTCGAAAACCAAGAAGTTTTCGAAAACGCGGTTTAAACGAGCGTGTTCAGCGTGACGAGAGCTTTCAGAAAATGTATAACATCATAGGGTTTTGTCAACTTCAGCTCGAGTTATCGCCTCCGAAGCGCCGGAACGCTCAAAAAAGACCCCTTATTTTTTCACGTTTGGGCCGATTTAAAAAAAAGCCATTTTTTTATTTTGATGAAAAACTAATATGTTGTTCCAGACTCTCTGTAGCCCCTCTGGCTCTTTACCGCATGCTGGGGAAATGTTTTGGTCGCGAGTTATAAGAGCGGAAAGCAGCGAAGGTCGTGAAAATCGGCTATTTTAAACTGCGCGCGGCGACGGATAAGGAGACATGCGGCAACAATGCGAGGTCGGCAGAGGAGTGTGATTCGCCGAACTGAGTGGGAGGGGACGTTTTCCCTCCGATCAACGCCGCGCGCGCAGTTTAAAATAGCCGATTTTACCGACCTTTGCTGCTTTCCGCTCTTATAACTCGCGACCAAAACATTTCCCCAGCATGCGGTAAAGAGCCAGAGGGGCCACAGAGAGTCTGGAACAACATATTAGTTTTTCATCAAAATAAAAAAATGGCTTTTTTTTAAATCGGCCCAAACGTGAAAAAATAAGGGGTCTTTTTTGAGCGTTCCGGCGCTTCGGAGGCGATAACTCGAGCTGAAGTTGACAAAACCCTATGATGTTATACATTTTCTGAAAGCTCTCGTCACGCTGAACACGCTCGTTTAAACCGCGTTTTCGAAAACTTCTTGGTCATCGAGTAATAAATTCGCGAAAATTTTGCCGGTTTTTAACTTTGACCCCCCGCCGCGTCTCCCCAAAATTTTTGGGGGGCTTGGAACTTTGGGAAAAGATGGGGCATTGTTAGGTGAATGAATAGGGCAAGTCTCAAAGGTATCCGCCCCGAGCCCCAAATGGCCCGTTTTGCACGGAGTCCTTTGCTACAAAAGGATATAAATTATAATTCCTACGCCTCCTCAAATTTGTGCTTCTTAACTAGACGTTTGATTGATTTAAATCGTTTCGAAACTTTTCAAATTTTATTTTCCCTAAGGATGTAGTACAAATATCAGCA